TTCTTTCTTTCTTTCTTTCTTTCTTTCTTTCTTTCTTTCTTTCTTTCTTTCTTTCTTTCTTTCTTTCTACACTTTACACCCCAATCCCAGCCCCTCCTTTCTCTCCTCCAAGTCCCACTCCCACACCCCTCCTTTCTTTCCTACCTCTCCTTCCTCCCAGAGAAGGGGAGGCCCCCAATTGGTATCAATCCATCCTGGTATCTCTATTCATGGTAAGACTAAGCACATCTTTTCCCACTGGGGAGTGGCAAGGCAGCCCAGCTAGGGAAAAGTGACCCAGTGGTAGGTAACATAGTCAGAGACAGCCACTACTTCAATTGTTAGAGGACTCACATGATGACCAAGCTGCACATTTGCTGCATATTTGCAAAGGGTTTAGGTTCAGTTTATGAAAGCTCTTTGGTTGGTGGTTCAGTCTCTGTGAGCCCCCTTGGACCCAGGTGAGATTATTCTGTAGGACTTTCTGGGGTGTCCTTGACCCTTCTGGCCTCCTCTATCCTTCCACCTCCTCTTCAACAGCACTTCCTATGCAGGGCTTATTGTTTGGCTTTGGGTCTCTGCATCTGTTTCCATCAGCTGTTGGATGAAGCCTCATAGAAGACAGTTATGCTAGGCTCCTGTCTGCAAGCATATCATGGATAATAACAGTGATCAGCCATTTCCCATGGGGTGGGTCTCAAGCTGGGCCATTCACTGATTTGCCATTCCCACAATCTCTGTTCCATCTTTGCTCCTACACGTCTTATGAAAAAGACACATTTTGGGTCAAAGGTTTTGTGGGGGGTTATTGGTGTCCCGCTTCCTCTGCTGAGAGTTCCCCCCCTTGCTACAGAAGGTGTCAACTTTATGCTCCTTAACACTCATTGCTTCTTTCCTTTTAAGGCATAAAGCCTAGGGTAAACCTGAACTCATAATTCTGCTTTAGCCTCTAAAGTGACAGTATTGTGGGTGTAGACCACCCTAGATTCCTCATTTTAACTGAGTAACTTCTGAGCTATATTTTTTGGAGTAATAAAGAATTCTAAAACAGATAGGGGGCATAGACTATACCTTCTAAGATTTTGTAGTCATTTTATTTGTAAGCAATTGGTCCATTAAATTTTATGTGCTACATTTTAGTATGCCTATTTGGTATTTATTATAATAATATTGACTTATATTAAATATTCCATCACTTTTTATGTTATGTATTACAACTCGATTATTTAATTAATCTTGATAAGTATTTTACTCTGTGAAATATCTAGGCTGTGTTTTAGACTTTCCACATGTGATGATTTCTTATATCTGGCAAGGACCCTCCAGTTCCAGGCTGGAGCAGTGGAGCATAGATCAATGTGAAGAGGAAGTATTGTCATCTACATTGGAGACACAACACATATTATTCATTCTTTTAAAACATAATGAAGCTGACTGAGTCTGTCCTGGTGCTACTGCCCCTGGGACTACCATCCTGGACTGAAGATGAGCAGCCCTCCAGGAAGTGCTCCCAGGCCCA